TTAGTTTTCTTAATGTTGAGAGGCCCTCCCATATTGGAGTAGACCAGGTGCTTCGACAGAAAAACACTTTATACACGTTATAGGGAGGAAATGTGTTTTATTCTCCCACAGCTGAGACGGAATGTTTGTGATTTAACCTTTGAGGTTAATTCTTTGCAATTGTTTTCCCTGCACAACCAGATGGCTATTCTTGCTATAACTGGTCTGCTCGGAGTTCAAATCCCAGGGTATCTATAGAAGCCCTAAGAACGGGAAGAGGAATTGTAGCTCATTGTCTAAAAATTGGGTAAGATTGGTTACTATATTTAAACGGCCTATTGCAATGGGAAATGTGTACTGGCAGCAAAATCCAACCATTACATAATTACTTTTTATTTTTATCTTGCCTTTATTATTTTTATAAATAACTCACTGCTTAACTGAGGATTGGCTGCTGGAGATGTGTCCTTTTGCTTCCTTTCTAGCTTTTTATTGTCTGCTTTGAATACTATGGAGGATGCTATTTATCTCTGTGTCTAACCCAAGAACGATATAAGCCAACATTCAGGTAACATGAGCCCTGTTAGTACTGCTATTTGTATACAAGGAGATATATACGGAAATATGTTTTAGACGTGATTTGCAATGGGTCTTTTTTTTAATTGGGATTTTTTTTTTTGTAAGTCAAATCTACTCACCACCAGCACCTCTCTCATTTGACAGCTTGAGTTTTGTTCTGTAAGTTTCAACAATTTTTTATGTCTTTTAAAAAATAAAGTTTGATTTTGTTTATCTCTGGTGAGATTGGTCTATCTCTCAAGGCAGGGAGAAAAAGCTGAAACATGTGGTCACACGTTTCAATTCTAATTCTAATTCTAATTCTAATTCTAATTCTAATTCTAATTCAATTCTAATTCTAAGGCTAAAGAGCCTTGGTGGCACAGCAGACTAAAGTGCTGTTTAGCAGCACCAGCTGCCTGCAATTACTGCAAGTTCAAATCTCACCAGGCTCAAGGTTGACTCAGCCTTCCATCCTTTCGAGGTAGGTAAAATGAGGACCTGGATTGTGGGGGCAATAAGCTGACTTTGTATATTTAAAAAAAGAACACCGCTTTGGGGGGGCTGAAAGCCCTACTAAGCAGGTATATACAAAAGAATGAAGGCTATTGCTTAACGCATTGTAAGCCGCCTTGAGTCTCCGGAGAAGGGTGGCATATAAATCGAACCAATAAATAAATAAATAAATAAATAAATAAATAAATAAATAAATAATAAATAAATAAATAAATAAATAAATAAATAAATAAATAAATAAATCCTAATCTAAATCTAAATCTAAATCTAAATCTAAATCTAAATCTTATTCTAATTCTAATTCTAATTCTAATTCTAATTCTAATTTCTATCCTCTGTCTGTCCTGTCCTGTCCTGTCCTGTCCTGTCCTGCCCTGTCCTGTCCTATTCCTAATGACTGGGAGAGACCATAAACACGGTTATCAATTTTAAGCTTTGATGTAACACAAGTGAGAAATTAATAATAGGTTATACTCCAATCAGTGGTGAAATCTGAACTGGTTTGCTACTGGCTCGCTGGCCGTGCATGCACAGTTTGCACCGAACGCTATTGCTGAGCGCATGCACAGCACGCACCAAAAGGAGGCTTGGGAAGGTAAGTAGAAACAGCGTGGAGAACAGCTCCGGAGAACCAGTAGTAAAATAATGCTTAAAAAGTAAAAAAAAAAGTTCCGACGATCGCGTCACTCAGTGATCGTCTGAACTTTTTTAAAACGTTTTTTTTAAACTACCAGTTCAGCGAACCGGTAGCAATTTTTTTACTACCGTCTCGGGCAAACCGGCCTGAACAGTAGCATTTCACCCTGACTCCAATCGTATTGACTATATGACATCTTAATTTATATTTTAAACTGTTTAATCCAGGGGTCACCAACCATTTTGGCAACAGGGACCGGTTTTGTAGAAGACAATTTTTCCATGGATCAGGATGTGGGGGGGGGGGAGGAGGAGGAGAAGGCGCAAACTAGTTCCCATGCATGTGCAGTTTCGCTTGCTGGCCACTCACCTGTGGGCCGTTCCTAACAGGCCACAGACCCAGTATTGCTCTGTGGCCCACGGGTTGGGGACAGTGATGGGATTCAAAATAATTTAACAACCGGTTCTCTGCCCTAATGACCGGCTGGTGGTGTGGCCATGGTGGCCATGGTGTAACAGGCAGCACTGGCCTTCTGCACCCTCCTGGAAGCAAAAACGGGCCACAGGGAGGGGGGGACTCGCCGCTCCCCCGTACCCCATTTTGGGCCTAGTAGGCCTCCCTGCACTTACCGGGGAGCCAAAATGGGGCACGTGGGGACTCCTGGAAGGGGCAGAGCAGCCAGCAATTTAACTACCGGTTTGCCTGAACCAGCCCGAACCGGCTGAATCCCACCACTGGTTGAGGACCCTGGTTTAATCCACCAGAAAGACATGATAGCGTGAAAAAAATCTTTCTGTGGCTCATGTTCTTGATAAGAGAGAAAATTAGGCTTTCCTTGCATGATAGTCCCTACCCTCCCAAAAAAAGGAGCTATGGGCTGCACTGCCCCATTCACTCAGTGTTTTAGAGAGATCTTTATTTTGTCTTTTCCCCAGCAGTTTCAGCTCACACATGGCTGCTAGATTAGAACAGCAATTGGCCTCGAGACCAAGTAGATAACAAGGAAATGAACATACGGCAAACTCAAAAAGAGTCTCGGGAATAAAGGCTTTGCCTGAGTAGTTTCAAAAGAGAAGCCAAAATCCAATCTGAGATTTGGAGCCTCCCGTTAGGTTCGTCAGCCAGTCTAATGGTCTGAGTTTCAGGGTTTACATGTAGAATTCACAGGAACAGCCCAGGTTAAGAGGTCTAATGGTTGTTTCCAAGCGAAGCCAGCTATGAACAAGTTCCAGATTAAACTTCTAAGCCAGTGATGGCTAACCTTTTTGTCGTTCCACGCCCGCACCTCGTTTTGGGCCTAGTACACCTCCCTGCAACCTCCTAGGAGCAAAATGGACCATGGAGGAGCTGCACAGCACTCCCCGTACTTGGGTTTGGGCCTAGTAGGCCTCCCTGCACTTATTACCTATAATGCAATGTGCGTGCACCCCTGTGTGCACCCCGTGTGTGCACAACTCCCCGCTTCCCCCCATATATCTCCTGCATGAGCCCCCCATATATCTCCTGCGTATTCGTGGCAGAGACCTGAAAATCAGCTGGCCGGCGGGTGGTGCGCACGCATGCATGGTGGAGCTGAGCTGGGGTGATGGTTCGTGTGCCCACAGAGAGGACTCTGCCTGCCACCTGTGGCATGTGATAGGTTCCCCATCACGGGTTCTAGGCAATGGCCAATTAGTCCATCAAACAGCTAACTAGCTGCTTGGGTCCAAAACACGAACACAACTTAAACTAAAGGCAACTTAAACTAAATCCACGTAAAACTCTCGGCAACTTAAACCTAATCCTCCTAGCTCACAAACCGGGGAGTCTTAGAAACACAAACATCTGGCCACAACCCACACACGTTGCTTCCAGCAACGCCTCCCTCTGCCTGCCGTGCTAAATAGCACTCAGTACAGCCCATCAAAAGGGGCGGGGCCTTTTTCTGAGCAATCTGGCAGATCTCAGCTTCTTTGCCTTGTTACTCTGGGATCCATCACATTAGGTAGCTCCTCCCCCTCTTCCTCACTGGCCTGCAAGCTCTCCCCAGCCGAGGCCTGTTCTACTGACAATTTAGGGTCAGTTTTTTTTTTTTAATTTGATTTATATGCCGCCCTTCTCCAGAGACTCAGGGCAGCTTACAATGCGCTAAGCAATAGCCTTCATCCTTTTGTATATTTATACAAAGTCAGCTAGTAATTCCTGACGTGCCAGGAACTCTCCCGTTCTCCCTCGAGCCGGCCTCTCAGGAAGAAGTGGAGGAGTCGTCATCCAAAGAAGACATCACAGGGGCTGAATATGAAAGCCCAGGTGGTTTCTCTGGAGAATTTAGAGATCTCCACCTTCCATGCTTTTCATCTTAGCTTGAATACAGCCATCTCATCTCCTCTAAAAGAAACCAGGACTGTTCCGACTCAGCTCCCCAAACATGACAAACCCTCTGAAGTGAACTCAAAGATTCCTTTAATTAGGTGTGCCGGCAGCCCAGCAAAAGTGTTTCTTTCTCACTGAAGGCTAATACGTCCATCCGGATGGCCACATCTATTCATCTTGTCCCCTGTCTTTTATCCCCAGAGCTAGGGGTGGGGCTTCACTAGCAGCGGTGGCTCTTCCGTCCCAAGAATCGGCCCATAGATTTCCACTGCTCTCCTCTCCTCTGCCTTCTGCGTATATGCGTGTCAGGCACTGGGCCCGGCTGTTACTCTTCTTCCTCATCAGCCACCTCCAGATCTGGGGGTTGTTGACTCTCCATCTGAGGGCTGACGGATGGCCCAGGTTCTGCCTCTGTGACAGCTCTATTCCCTCTTCCCCCTCAGAGCTCTAAGGTTGCCTTGCTGCTGACCCTGACTCCTATGCCTCCTCCTCCTCTGATTCGGCTGCTGGAGGGGTCGGCGGTCGACAAGCCACAACAAGGACATTGTCAATATGTTCAAAATTGTAGCAAAAATTGGAGTCCACCTTATAACAAACATCCAAATCCTGAGGTCCCAGGGCTGCCCAAACGTCTTAAATGTGGTCCCAAATTATCCTCCCAATAAGCAAGTTTATCCAATTCTAAGCTTCGATGTGACGCAAGGGAGACAATATATAGGTTATACTCCAATCGTATTGACTATATGACATCTTAATTTATGACGCTTTACGAACAAATTGCATTAAAGGCCCAAATTTGTCAGACGGTATATTGCAAGGAAGAAAAGTTCTTAAAACAATGTAATTCCACAGCAGCAACTCTCTGGTTCCCACACAAAAGTATTGTGTCCCTTTATCAATCTCCCACGGAGTCTTAAAAGAGGCAATAAGAAAGCTTTATTTAAAGAACTCCCAAAGCAACAGAGAAACATTTCTTTATTTCAGAATCGTATTAAAAAAAAACCCCTGATGATCTTCAAAAGAAGGAAACGATACGGTTGTACTGCACTGCTCAAATTGTGGATCAAATGAACGTTGTCATCCCAGGTATTTTGTTAAAAAGATACTTACAAGTTTCCCTTTTTTATACACACACACACACACACAAAATCACAGTAAAGTATAATCATTTTGCATGCAAGGCACTCTCTTCTACATTCAAGTTTCTTCATTTCTTTTGTTAAGGCACAGCAATTAAAAAAAAATACTATTGCGGATTAGAAAAATATTTCTGGCAAAAATCAAAGGGAGGGGGGAAAAATGGCTGCTAAATAAGGAAAGAAAGTGTGGGAGAATTAACACCCTCAATCAGGGGTGAAATCCAGCAGGTTCTGGAGAACTGGTAGCGGAAATTTTGAGCAGTTCGGAGAACCGGCAAATACCACCACTGGCTGGCCCCAGAGTGGGGTGGGAATGGAGATTTTGCAATATCCTTTCCCCCAGGAGTGGGGAGGGAATGGGGATTTTGCAGGATCCTTCCCCTGCCACACTCACCAAGCCACACCATGCCCACCAAGCCACGCCCACAGAACTGGTAGTAAAAAAATTTGGATTTCACCACTGCACTGAATATTCAATTTTCATACATTGTAATTGAATTCATAGCTAGATTGTAAACATTAAAATATACCATTTTCTTCAATGGGGAGAAAGTATGGGGTGTACCACTTTATCCTAAGAAACCTGATTAATGTGGTTAAGAGATTGACTCCCTTCAGGTACACGATCCATGTTCCAAAGGTAGTTTATCCAAAAGGCAACTGGACTTTCTTGGGTTTTTTTTTCCTTCTTCTTTGAATAAGTTTCATTTTTCATCCAAGGAACTTTCTCAGTTCTAACTCAGTTCAGTTAGAACTAAATGTTCTAAACGTTTAGTTAGAACTAAATGGGGCTGGTGGCTCAGCAGACTAAAAAAGCATTGTGATTAACACCAGCTGTCTGCAATTACTATAAGTTCGAATCTCACCAGGCTCAAGGTTGACTCAGCCTTCCATCCTTTCTAAGGTAGGTTAAATGAGGACTCAGTTTGTGGGGGCAATAAGCTGACTTTGTATAAATATACAAAAGTATGAAGGCTATTGCTTAATGCATTGTAAGCTGTCCTGAGTCTCCGGAGAAGGGCAGCATATAAATCAAATTTAAAAAAAATGTTTTGATTACAGATTAAGAGTTGGAAGGGACCTTATAGGTCATCTAGTCCAACCCCCCCCCAAAGCAGGAGACCCTACACCATTTCTGACAAATGGCAATCCAATCTCTTCTTGAAAGCCTCCAGTGATGAAGCTCCCACAACTTTTGAAGGCAACTTCTGTTCCATTGGTGGATGGTTCTCACTGTCAGAAAGTTCCCCTTCTAGGTTGAATCTCTCCTTGGTCAGTTTCCATCCATTATTCCTTGTCTGGCCTTCAGGTGCCTTGGAAAACAGCTTGACCCCCTCCTCTCTGTGGCCGCCCCTCAAATATTGCAAGACGGCTATCATGTCTCCCCTGGTCCTTCTCTTCACTAGACTAGCCATGCCCAGTTCCTGCAACCGTTCATCGTATGTTTTAGCCTCCAGTCCCCTAATCATTTTTCTTGCTCTTCTCTGCACTCTTTCTAGAGTCTCAACATCTTTTTTTATAGAGTGGTGACCAAAACTGGATACAGTACTCTAGGTGTGGTCTTACTAGGGCTTACTAGGGCTGTTAGAACTGAAGGAGTTTCTTGGATGAAAAGCGAAACGTTGTCAAAGTAAAAAAACCCAAGGAAGTCCAGCTGCCTTTGGGAAAAATATCTTTGGGACAACCGTGACCGGGATGATTGAGAATCTCCATAGGCATTAAACTAACCATGGTTGAAAACATCAAGTCACGGTTGGGCTTCCATTCCAACCTACCATTCCCCCAAGTCTATTTTAATCACTATCTTTTCCTGATGGAATAGTAGAAGAGTGTTAATCATGATTGGCCATTTTATCACGCCAAGCCGAAATAAAACCGATCGTGATGAGTAAGCTTGCTTCCAATCACAGTTTGCCAATTCTGGCTTGAAAGTTAAGAACACGAATCTATTGTCAAGGTTCCTTCATTCAGTTGAACTGAATTAAGAATGCCTGTTTAAATGGCCAGTTCTTTGATCTTGTCTTCTAATCACTATGGCTTTCATTTTAACACCGTTTGAAAAACGGAAAAACAAAACTTTTCTCGTAGGCAGGGAACACAAGGCCATTTACCCTTTCTCAATATGTACAGGTAGTCCTCGATTTATAACAATTCCTTTTAGGGACCGTTCCAAGTTACAACGGCACTGAAAAAAGAATGACTCATGATTGTTTTTGCATTTACAACGGTTGCATCTCCGAGACATCACAAGTTCAAATATTTGGATGCTTGGCAACTGACATGTACTTATGCCGGTTGCAGTGTCCTGGGGGTCATGTGATCACTTTTTGCAACCTTCTCATCAGCAAAATCAATGGGGAAACTGGATTGACTTAACAACTGTGTTACAACTGCAGTGATCCCTTAATAGTGGCAAAAAAAAAAAAAAAGACCGTAAACTTAAGACAAAACTTACTGAATACCTGTCTTGCTTAGCAACGGAAATGGGCTCAATTGTGGTCATAAATCAAGGACTAGCTGTAAGGAATATCCATTGCACTTCTAGGGTGGACACGCCTGCCCTCTGGACAGAGAGGCCTACTGAGATAATCTGACAAACTATATTTTAGGTATAGGTGTAGAAGCCACTGCTATGCTCTCTATCGCGCATTCGTCAGAGCCCCTCCGGATCCGGAAATAACCTTCCTCACCCCAAGAGGTCCCCCAACTGTTCTTCACAATCCAGAATGGTTCCCCAGAGTGGGGATCGCTGCCGTACCCCACGAGCAAAACGGCGTGATTGGTCAGTTCGAAAGGGTTAAAAGGGTCCATCAGACCTGTGTGGTGGTAGATTCCTCCCGAGTAGTACATGAAGTCATTATAGACTTCGAAAGCAACAGCCATCGGTCCGTGCTTAATGAGCTCCAGTTTCATCCAGGCTTCATTGCAGCCCCCGTAAAACCCACCCACGTAGTAATAGTTGGAGGTGTAGTAGCGGTAACAGTCATTCCTAAGAGTGCAGGGGGAATCCACGCCTTTGTAAGGAAAGCAGGCCTCCTCAACGATGCCAAAATCCTGTATGTATTTTCCAGCAATAAGGTAAGGAAATCCACCATCACAACCTAAAAAAGGGAGGGAAGAAAGAAAAAAAATAACAATTCCAGAAAGTTAACTGTGCAACCTCTGGAACGAGTTGCCCCCCAGAGATACGGCGGATCCCTGACCTTCGCGCTTTCCGAACTGCCCTAAAGACGTTTTTGTTTCATCAAGCCGGGCTGGCCTGACCTACTCTTTTTAAAAAGAATTGTTTTAAAAAATTAGGGGTTTTTAATATAGGGTTTTTAACTATGGGCCAAATTGATTTAATTGGATTTTAATATTGTTTTAAATTTTGTATCTGGGTATTTTATTTGCTGGCTGTTCACCGCCCCGAGTCCCTCAGGAGTGGGGGCGGTATATAAATATAATAAACTAACTAACTAACTAACTTGAAGAAGTCTCAAAGGGCTAGGTCAGTGATGGCTAATCTTTTTGCCATCGTGTGCCAAAAGTGGGAGGAGTGTGGGGTGATTGCGTGCGCGCGTGCCCACACCCATAGTTCTATGTGCCCTGCCCCCCCGCGCATGCGCGCATGACCCCCCCCCCGTGGTCCACCCGCTTTTGGCATGTGATGGCACGGTGGGCCCGGAAGTCCTGTTTTTCACCCTCCCCAGGCTCCAGAGGCTTTCTAGGAGCCTGGGGAGGGCATAAACAGCCTTCCCCACCCACCTGGAGGCCCTCTGGAGGCCGGAAACAGCCCGTTTGCCGACTTCCGGTGGGCCCAGAAGGCCCGAAAATCAGCTGGCCAGCGTGCGCATACATGCTGGAGCTGAGCTAGGGCAACGCTCGTGTGCCCACCAATATGGCTCTGTGTGCCACCTGTGGCACACGTGCCATAGGTTCGCCATCACGGGACTAGGTTCTTATTATAAAGGCTAGCAGAATAGAAAGCAAGCATCTTTCAGAATGAAAAACTGGACCAAAAGGACTATAAGAATTTTTTTTTTTATTTCCCCCCCAAAATTCAGATGCTACCCAACCCTACTTTACCTTGGGAGTATTCACTGCAGGAAACAACTTGCTGAGGGCTCAGCGTTGGAGTCTGAGAATTGTTGGTGAGGATGCGAATCCTGGCTTCCAGCATGCCCATCGAAGCAAATGCATAGCAGCTGCCACAGGAGGCTGTGGAGAAGAATGCAGGAATAAGGTCAGCCAACCACTGATCTCCTTTGAAACGAGAAACACCTTAGCTCTGAGCTGGGGGAGAGAGAGCGAGATAGAGGGAGGGGGAAGAGAAGGAGGGAGGGAGCAGGAGAGAGAGGGGGGAAGGGAGAGGGAGAGAGAGAGAAAGGGAAGGAGAGAGAAGGAGGGAGAGAGAGAAAGGGAGGGAGAGGGAGATAGAGAGGAAGAGAGAGGGGAGAGAGAAGGAGGGAGGGAGAGGGAGAAGGGGAAGGGAGAGGGAGGGAGGGAGAGAGAGAAAGAGGGAGGGAGAGGATGAGAGAGGGAGAGAGAAAAATGAGAGGGAGAGAGTGAGATAGAGGGAGGGGGAGAGAAGGAGGGAGGGAGCAGAGAGAGAGGGGAGAAGGGAGAGGGAGAGGAGAGAAAGGGAAGGAGAGAGAAGGAGGGAGGGAGAGAGAGAGGAGGAAGAGGGAGATAGAGAAAGAGAGGGGAGGAAGAGAGAGGGGAGAGAGAAGGAGGGAGGAGAGGGAGAGGAGAGAGCGGGAAGTGAGAGGGAGAGACAGAAAGAGGGAGAGGGTGAGAGAGAAAAATGAGAGGGAGAGAGAAAGAGGGAGGGAGGGAGAGGGAAGGAGAGAGAGAGGGAGGGAGAGAGGGGAGAAGGAGAGAGAGAGGGAGGGAGGGAGAGGGAGAGGGAGAGAGCGGGAAGTGAGAGGGAGGAGAGACAGAAAGAGGGAGAGGGTGAGAGAGAGAGAGGGAGAGAGAAAGAGGGAGGGAGAGGGGAGAAGGAGAGAGAGAGGGAGGGAGGGAGAGGGAGGGATAGAGAAGGAGGAAGAGGAAGAACAGGAAAAACCTTTCAAGACTTTTTAATCAAACCAAATAAAAATCGCCTCTATTTTATTTGCTTATTATTTATTTATATCCCCCCTTTTAAAATAAACAATTCAAGTCAGTGAATGTAGGTAATGTTCCTTCTTCTTCCTATTTTTCCCCACTAAAACTACAACAAACCTGTGAGATGAGCTGCATTAAGAGAGAGCAACAGGCCCGAAGTCACCCAGCTGGCTTTTTCACGCCTAAGGCAGGATTAGAACTCACAGTCTCTTGAGGATTGGCCCCAAGTCAGCCTGTTTTCATGCCTAAGGTAGGACTAAAAACTCACCATCTCCTGGTTTCTTGCCTGGTGCCTTAACCATTTGTCCAAACTGGTTCTACGGGCCCCTTACACTCTGAACGGATACGTAGGCGCTAGATTTTTCTTAAATAAATAAAGTAAAATACACTTACTGAGCTAAAAGGCCTGGCTAATATCCCAGCTTTTTTTAGAAGCCCTAAAATGCTGCCGCCGTTATCAGCTGCTTAGCAACACAAGGAAAGGATTACATTAGGCGAAATAAGTTTATTCATTCCCCTTTTGCCTTCGCTACTGGAATTTCTGGTAACTGAGTCAGAATTTTTGAAACCTGACAAAATGTTATGGTGGAACAATGCCGTTTCCTGCTGGCCAAAGGCAGGTGAATTGTGCTTTTCTGTCACCAAAGACTTATTCCAAGTACCTTACAAAAGAAAAGATTTGAGGGCGATATTTAGAAGCCAAATTGCCTCTTGAGGAAAAGGAAGGGTGAATAATCAGGAGGAAAACACATATTTCCCATTTCAAAAATTGTATGTATACAGGTGCCATTTTAGTTTAAACATCTTAAAGGTAAAGGTTCCTCTCGCACATATGTGCTAGTCGTTCCCGACTCTAGGAGGCGGTGCTCATCTCCGTTTCAAAGCCAAAGAGCCAGCGCTGTCCGAAGATGTCTCCGTGGTCATGTGGCCGGCATGATTAAATGCCAAAGGTACACGGAACGCTGTTACCTTCCCACCAAAGTTGGTCCCTATTTTTCTACTTGTATTTTTTACCTGCTTTCGAACTGCTGGGACAAGTAATGGGAACTCACCCCGTTACGCGGCACTAGGGATTCGAACCGCCGAACAGCCAACCTTGCGATCGACAAGCTCAGCGTCTTACCCACTGAGCCACCTTGTCCCTTTTCACTAATTCTACTTTATCGTAAAGTTACATTATCAGAATTTTGCAAGCCTGAAATTACATTTCCCCCACTTTACTACCTAAGAAACTAGGGAGGATCCCTGATAGGATGCTTGCCTTACTTATTTTCCTGTTGTAGGCTAGGTTGCCTTTTATCTGACTGCTCCCTTGGATGTGTCTCTTGACCCTGTTTCCCAAGGTCATTCCTACATACCGTGTTTCCCCGAAAATAAGACCCCGTCTTATATTTTTTGAACCCCGAAATTCAGCCTTATTTTTGGATAGGCCTTATTATTTTGGGGCATGTGGAGGAAACCAGAGGAAATGGCGGGGATCGGCTGAGCATGAGTTTGAATATTTTCTGGGAGGGCTTATTTTCAGGGGGGGGCTTATTGTAGGGCATGCGCTCAAAAGCCTGATTGAGCTTATTATCAGGGGATGTCTTATTTTTGGGGAAACGGGGCACTACTACAATAATTCATAATATGGCTCCAGTATGCCCAGGTATATGATAAAGGACAAATGACGAGAATAAGAAAAGGGAGAAGAAATTGGGACATGGCAATTCTGTTTCTTGGGTCAGAACAAAATTACTAATATTACCTCAGGTCTACCGCTTACTTCAAACATAGTAAATATGCTATTTGGAGCTGAATTCTCTCTGCCACCGACAGACTAACATTGTCTCCTCGGTACTCACAATGTTTTTTGTGAGGCTGGTAATTATCCCAAGGACACAATTGCACAGACACAACCACAGAACTCCATGAATGCAGTGGTGGTATTCAGCTGGTTCGGACCGGTAGTGGCAACCTGCGGATGGGCCTGCTTACCTGCCCTGGCCTCTATTCAGCCATGTTTTCTAAGCCGCGTGCATCAGGGGTGGATTCTACTTACCTTTACTACCGGTTCGCAACGGGATCGCGCTCGCTCGCTTTGCTTGCGCAAGGTGCGGTAAAGTGGGCGGAGCCTCCCGCTGGTTTTACTACCGGTTCTATAGAACCAGTCCAAACCAGGGGCAACCCACCACTGGCGTGCATGTGTGCAAGCCACGCATGCTCACATTTTCGATGTGCGGGGAACCGGTGATAAAATTATGTGAAACCCACTTCTGCATGAATGCCTACAAAAGGACATTTGTTTTTTGTAAAAGCGTTGCAAAACAGTTAAGTCAAAAGCAGGGCTGAGGAAAAAGAACACACCTTGGTTTCTTACTGGGCTGACGTAATTAACACCGTTCATATTTCTCCAGTCCCAGGATTCCGGCAGATTTTGAGCCTCTTTGAGTATTTCAGAAGCGAGGGGCGCAGGTTTTGGTCTACAAGAAATAAAAGGAATGTGAATTTCTATAAGATGATGTATTGTTGGTATCAGGGTGGTGATTTTTTTCCCATTAATTATTGCATCACCCTCAGAAACTTCAACTAAACTTAGCTCAGACAACCTATAGAGCCAGGTATGACCCCTACATAACCCCTAGAACAGCCAATAGAATACATGTACTTGCACAGGAACAGGAAGCTCAAGTGCAAAGTCCAAGAGAAGGTATAAAAAACACCCACTCTCAACACCATGTGGTCAGCTGCCCAGAACCATGTGCTTGGTTCTGCTTCACCCTTAAACCCTCTTTCCAATCAGCCTCCAGCCTCCATTTTGTCTCCAGTGCCTTTCCCCCGGGTTAGAACTGAACTAGATGGATATTTTTTCCGACAGGGGCAATTAATGGGAGCTCAGCCCATCATGCGGTGCTCGGGTCTCGAACTGCTGACCTTCCAGTCAATAAGTCCAACGTCTTAACCATTAGACCTCCACATTCCCCCCCAATGCGTACCTTGGCATCTTTCAAATCTGACAAATGGAACGATTAATTGCTATGAGCTTTGCGTCGCTTTGTCTGAGGTCTTACTACCGTAGCGGAAAAAAAACTCTTTCCAAGAGTTCTCCCACAGGAACTCTCTTGTTATATGCAGAGGTGAAATAAAATCACAGCAAACCGATAAAGAAAGATTATTGGCACTTTTGCCCTCCCGAGTAAGCACTTCATTTTAGAGGCTAAAGTAAGAAGCCCTTAGCAAAATTGAACACAGTTCCAACAAGGAGTGTAACGCTGGTCACAAATGTTTTCTTTTTAACATTACCATGGAGTGCTTAAAACAGTGTGATGATTTTGAATGGCTCAATAAAGGTAAAGGTTCCCCTCGCACATATGTGCCAGTCATGCCCGACTCATTTCCGTTTCAAAGCCAAAGAGCCAGCGCTGTCCAAAGACGCCTCCGTGGTCATGTGGCCGGCATGACTAAACGCCAAAGGCGCATGGAACGCTGTGACCTTCCCACCAAAGGTGGTCCCTATTTTTCTACTTGCATTTTTTTACCTGCTTTCAAACTGCTAGGTTGGCAGAAGCTGGGACAAGTAACGGGAGGTCACCCCGTTACGGGGCACTAGGGATTCGAACCGCTGAACTGCCGACCTTTCGATTGACAAGCTCAGCATCTTAGCCACTGAGCCACTGCGTCCCTGAATGGCTCAATATTGCACCATAAAATTGCTTTTATTGCTTTCCGGAGGCTTTTCTCGAGCCTCCGGAAGGGCAAAAACAGCTTCACTCGGGTTCCAGAGGCCCTCCCGAGGCCAGAAATAGGCCCATTTCTGGACTCCCAGAACCTCCGATAGGCCCGTTTTTTGCCCTCCCAGACCCTCCACGCGGCTCCTGCACTTACCTGAAATAATGAACGGGCCACGCAAAGACTCCTGGGAGGGGAGGGGTGGGTGTGGCATTTGGGGGATTTGCCGAACCCCTGAAATTGTTGGCTAGAGGATTGCCCTCAGGAGCCCACCCAGTGGTGAAATCCAAATTTTTTTACTACCTGTTCTGTGGGCGTGGCTTGGTGGGTGTGGCATGGGAAGGATACTGCAAAATCTCCATTCCCACCCTACTCTAGGGCCAGCCAGAGGTAGTATTTGCCGGTTGTCAGAACTGATCAAAATTTCCGCTACCGGATCTCAGAACTGCTCAAAATTTCTGCTACCGGTTCTCTAGAACCTGTCAGAACCTGCTGGATTTCACCCCTGAGCCCACCTCTGGGTCTCCTGCTTGAGCTGTAGGTTGGACTAGAAGACCTTCAAAGTCCCTTCCAGCTTAAAATGTACATAAATGTAGCTGACAAGGCTTGCTACGCCCATTCTTTTCTTCAGAAAAGACCTAGCTCTTGAAGAAATGCACAAAGTCCACATCCTTTTCTTTTTTTAATCTGGACCTTTATGTCATCACCAACACCATTTTGGAAACCATCAAATACGTCGGGAGTCAAGAACAAAAATGTCTCTGGGCTCCACGACACATCTCTTTCCCTAAATCAGGGGTCAGCAACCCGCGGCTCTGGAGCCGCATGTGGCTCTTTCATCCCTCTGCTGTGGCTCCCTGTTGCTGGTCAGCTCCACAATTGATAGGGGTTTCGGTTAGGACAGGTAGAGGAAAAAGAATGCTGCGCTAGGAGGAGACTCTATGGTGGGGGAACCAGACTTCCAGTCGGCAGAGGAAAAAGGACGCCATGCTAGGAGGAGACTCTATGGTGGGAGAACCAGACTTCCGGTCCGCAGAGGAAAAAGGACGCCATGCTAGGAGGACTCTATGGTGGGAGAACCAGACTTCTGGTCAGCAAGGAAAAAGGACGCCATGCTAGGAGGAGACTCTATGGTGGGAGAACAGACTTCTGGTCAGCAGAGGAAAAAGGACGCCATGCTAGGAGGAGACTCTATGGTGGGAGAACCAGACTTCCGGTCAGCAGAGGAAAAAGGACGCCATGCTAGGAGGAGACTCTATGGTGGAGAACCAGACTTCTGGTCAGCAGAGGAAAAAGGACGCCATGCTAGGAGGAGACTCTATGGCGGGAGAACCAGACTTCCGGTCAGCAGAGGAAAAAGGACGCCATGCTAGGAGGAGACTCTATGGTGGGAGAACCAGACTTCCGGTCAGCAGAGGAAAAAGAACGCCGCACTAGGAGGAGAGTATGATGGGGTAACCGGACTTCCGGTCGTCTCCAGAATTGAACGGGGGCTTCCGGTTAGGACTTTTGTGGCTCTTTCAGTGTTTAAGGTTGCCGACCCCTGCCCTAAATCTACCCACTGACAAGTAACTTGTTTTACCTGGGAGTTTTGGATTTCAATCCTCCAGCTCTCCGAATGAAGTCTTGTAAAGTAAGCCTGTCGTATTCCCTGTAGGCAGTTGCTCTCCATGATTTCTGAACAGCATTGATGGCTTTCACAAAATCATAGTTGGTCACGTGGAACCTCTGTTGAATTCTGGAGAGAAAGGGTTGTCAGTTATTTAACTGAAGCCCAGTTTTTGCAATCACAGCCTAACTATACCCAAATCCAGCCCCCAAGCTTCTCTAAAACACTGTTCTGCCCCAGCTACGGACTCCAAAGAATGCAGCACACACAAAGTCCGTTCAAACCTTAGTTTACTGAATAAACCAGTCTTTTACAACAACGGCTGTTAATTAATTGCATTAGCAACTGCCAAGAATTCAAAGAATAATAACTGAAGCTTACTATGGTTGGCAGAATGCCCAGAAACAATTTGCAGGAAGCTGATAAGATAAGCAAGACAAGACCCAAAGGTATGTGAACGAAGTTGTTCCCTGCAAATTGCTTCAGTCAGCGTTCCTCCTTAAATAGGCTAAGGGAGTGGTCAATTAGCCCCTAGCCTTACTCTCGAGGAGAGCTCCTCCTGAGGAGCTCCTCCTGCCTTTTGGCAGCTCTGCGCACCCGTGCATCGAGAAGAGGCTCCTCCTCTTCGTCCTCTTCACTTAAGGGAGCTTCTGGAGGTTCTGAAGGCCCTGGCTGAATCCCCGCCTCTGGCACATCTTCTCCAGCCTCCTTATTGTCCGACTTGAGTGCCAGCTGCACAGGCTGCTAGCACAGCACCACACCAGCCTCCTCGCTGTCTGAATCAGCTACTAGCTGCACAGGCCACTGATGGGCCACAACAAACACGACCACAGTGCTGGAATTCACTATTACATGTTGTGCTGTCTTCCATCATGGTTGATGTTAAGCAGAGGTGGTATTCCCTTACCTTCCCTACCAGTTCGCAAATGTGAGTGTGCGCTTTGCTCCCACGCACCCTATCCACGCATCCGCCCGGCCTTCCATGCATGTATTTTGCTGGTGCACGCACCTTCCGTGCATGCACCTGGCCTCAAAAACGTGCCTAAATAGGATGGCACAGAGCCAGGGCAGGTGGGTGGGCCCACACACGATTTCCGCTACCGGTTTGGGTGAACCGGTCTGAACCGGCTGAATACCACCTCTGATGTTAAGCCAACAACATTGTGCCATCTGCATTCAATCATTGGACAAAGTAGGAAGCTGCCCTCCAGAGAGATTTTGCTGGGATTCTAAGGTAGGTATCTTAAGAGGTTCATTTTTCTGTGGGGCAGAATAATCTTGGTACAATAAACTGAGAATTTTGTCTTGGTGTCTGGAAGTTGTTGAGCTCAGAATGGGATAACAGGCTAAAACAAACTAAGCAAGATGGATTTATGGTTGTTCATCATGGTTTTAGCCTATAGGTGGAGCTCTTACCTCACAATCAGGAGGCTGTGAGTTCGATCCTAGGCAGAGGCAGATATTTCTCTTCTGCGCACGTTGAGATTACGTCTGCTAAATATCACCCCGCATTGGCTACAGGAAGGGCATCTGGCCAGTAAACACTCAACTTCATTCAGCTGCCCAGACTCCACCCCGCAAAGGATTATGGGGTCATTAAAAGTTTAGTTTAGTTTAGTTTATTCATACTTATATGCCGCCCTTCTCCCGAAGGACTCGGGCGGCTCACAAAGATAAAACAACGGAACAATAAAATTAATACTAAAATAATCCAATTAAAATCCCCAAGAAGTTAAAACTAAAACTCCCAGCAGATCAGGCAATTTGTTGGAAAAGCCATGTCTTCAGGTCACCGCGGAAAGAGCGGAGGTTGGGGGCCATCCGGAGATGATGATGGAGATGGAGATGATAATGATCGTGGTTTTACCCAATTCTATTATTGGCTCTTGAAGGCATGGTATTGTTTTTTGATGGAGCAGATCTAGGATTCGGGAACCTCCTGGCTACTGCAAGATGGATAGGTGAATGCTGTGGCCAAGGAAACCTATACTCAGTTTTGTTTATTTATTAAATTTATATGCCACCCGCATCACTTTGGGACAGCTGGGCACCCATTATTTCTCTTTGTGACCCTGGGACATAGCAACAGTCATAATTATGAATGAATTGCCAAGCATTTGAATTTTGATCACACGATCATGGGGATGCAGTAAAGGCCATAACTGTGAAAAATGGTTGAAAGTCATTTCTTTCAGCGCCGCTGTAACTTTGAAAAGTCAGTAAATGGACTGTTGGAAGTCGAGGACTACCTGTACATTCTTTGCAAGAAGATCAACCAATGAGTTTGGATGCTGAGCTGTATTGAATAACATCTCACGAGGGCAGTGGTGGAATTCAATTTTTTTTACTACCAGTTCTGTGGCTTGGTGGGTGTGATGTGGCTTGGTGGGTGTGGCTTGGTGGGCGTGGCAGGGGAAGGATACTGCAAAATCTCCATTCCCACCCAACTCTGGGGACAGCCAGAGGTGATATTTGCCGGTTGTCCAAACTACTCAAAATTTCCGCTACTGGTTCTCCAGAACCTGTCAGAACCTGCTGAATAGCACCCCTGCATGAGGGTCTCCAATCTGCTGTCCTAACAAAATGGACATACTAGACCAGGCCTGTCAAACTCGATTTCATTGAGGGCTGCATCAGGGTTGTGTTTGACCTCGGAGGGAGGGGAGGTGGCGCGAAATGGGCGTGGCCAGGGGGGCATGGCCCGCTTGCTGTCACTTGTGTCAAGGGCACCTGTGGTGGCCCAAGTGCTCTACCAGTTAAAACAGGCTCTCAATCTGTTTTCGGCTGGGACGGCCTCCTGCAACCTTCTGTCAGTGAAAACGGTTTTCATAGGCAGAGGGTTGCAGGAGGCTGTCCCGGTTGAAAATAGAGATTGGGAGCCCATTTTTGCTGACAGAGACACTACGGGCCGGTCCTTCACTGTTTCTACGGTGGCCCCACAGGCCTGACCTAAACACCCTTGTATTAGACTAAGGCCGTGATGGCGAACCTATGGCACGCGTACCATAAGTGGCGCGCAGAGCCATATATGTGGGCACGCAAGCGTTGCCCTAGCTCAGGGCAGGGGGGTGGGGAAGGCCATTTTTGCCCTCCCCAGGCTCCTAGAAAGCCTTTGGAGCCTGCGGAGGACAAAAAACGGGCCTACCAGGCCCACTGTGCCATCATGTGCCAAAAGTGTGTGTGTGGGGGAAATGGGGGGTTGTGCGCACATGCACGGGGGCGGGGCACATTGAATTGTGGGCGTGGGCACGCACGCATGTAACTCCCCCGCCCTACCCCCGCTTTTGGCACACAACGGCAAAAAGGTTAGCCATCACTGGACTAAGGAGATTGTCTGCTGAGGAGACACTTAACCGAAATGGAAAAAAATCACTGTTGCTATAGCGGCCTGAAGGAAAACCAGCTGAGTCGACTCCAGTCTTCTGAATTACAACAGGACAGGCAGGTCTTCTGTGCCGTTTTGCTAAACAAGACTCACCTTCTTGAGCTCTTCCAAGGAGGTAGCTGATGTACACGAACTTGGGGACCTGAAGATGAGACCTTGATTCCAGTGAAACAAGCCCAATTATGGCCCAGGACATCATGCACCCAGCCTGGTAGAGTCTCATTGCAGTAACTCGTCATTGTGGAACCCTCTTTTTTATACTAAAAAGGGAAGAGAAGAAAAGAAAGATCGGATTTTAGACAGGATACCAGCAATTCCACAGAGACATCGCGTGCAAAAGATCGGGTGGTGCGGTGGCCTAGAGGTGGAGCTCTCGCCTCACAATCAGGAAGCTGTGAGTTCGATCCTAGGTAGAGGCAGATATCACTCTCTCTCTGGGCACACTGAGAATGTATCTGCTGAATAAAACTCCGCACTGGTGACAGGAAGGGCATCTGGCCAGTAAACATTCAGCTCCATTCAGTTGCCCAGACTCCACCCCCCAAGGGATTATGGGGTTGTTAAAAGAGGATGATGATGATTGTGTGCAAAAGATTCCGGCCTCAATCCCTGTGAAATCTCACAAAACCACTACTGGTTATCCAATTCCAAGATTTTCACAAAAGAGTGTCCTCTCAGATTTATTTATTTGTATTTTCTAAATTGATAACTTTTGATTCACTCAAGGCGTCTTAACATAAATTGGGCTGGGAGAGTGTGACAGGCCCAAAGTCATCCATGGCTAAGTGTCCGTTCTATCAGTAGGTAGGTAATAGGTAGGCCACAGCAAGAAAGTAACTCCAAAGGAGGTTAAAACAGCTTTACTATACTGGCGGTAGTAAAAGCATCTTTTTAAGTCTGATGTCTCTTTACTTCTCTCCACACCGTACACCTGTGAAATTAAGGTGGTGTCGGTCTGAGCTATTTTGTCCTTGCTTTAGATTGTGTTGAGTTTGTGTTTTTGCTCTGGGATTGGATCTGGCTCGTCTCCATGAAAATCATCTTTATTCTCTACCAAACGGACTTGAACTTCGGTTTCTTCTAACCCAATACCTTAACTACTAACCGTGATGGTTCTCGTGGATGCTGGGTCTTATACTATCTGAGGAGAGTGCAAAAGTTGGTCTGAAACTCAACATTAAGAAAACTAAGATCATGGCATCCGGCCCTCTCAATTCCTGGCAAATAGATGGGGAAGAAAGGGAGGTAGTGACAGATGTTGTTTTCCTGTGCTCCAAGATCACCGCAGATGGGGACTGCAGTCAAGAAATTAAAAGACGCTTGATCCTGGGGAGGAAAGCCATGGCAAATCTAAAAAGCAGAGACATCACCCTGCCAACAAAAGCGCGTATAGTCAAGGCGATGGTTTTCCCAGTTGCAATGGATGGCTGTGAAAGTTGGACCATAAGGAAGGCTGAGTGCCAAAGAATTGAGGCCTTTGAATTATTTATTAATTATCATTCATTCATTCATTCATTCATTCATTCATTCATTCATTCATTCATTCATTCATTCATTGGTTTGATTTATATGCTGCCCTTCTCCAGAGATTTAGGGCGGCTTACAGTGCGTTAAGCAATAGCCTTCATACTTTTGTAAATACCTGCTTAGTAGGGCTTTAGGCCCCCCCTAAGTGGTGTTCTTTTTTATACAAAGTCAGCTTATTGCCCCCACAATCCAGGTCCTCATTTTACCTACCTCGGAAGAGTAGAAGGCTGAGTCAACCTTGAGCTTGGTGAGATTTGAACTCCCAGTAATTGCAGGCAGCTAGCAGCTAAGTGCTACTTTAACAGCACTTTAGTCCGCTGCGCCACCAAGGCTTCAGCACTATGGTGCTGGAGAAGACTCCTGTGAGTCCCGTGGACTGCAAGGCGATCCAACTGGTCAGTCCTAGAGGAGATCAACCCTGAATGCTCTTTAGAAGGCCAGATCCTGAAGAGGAAACTCAAATACTTTGGCCACCTAATGAGAAGGAAGGACTCCCTGGAGAAGAGCCTAATGCTGGGAACGATTGAGGGCAAAAGAAGAAGGGGATAGTAGAGAACGAGGTGGCTGGATGGAGTCACTGAAGCAGTCGGCATGAGCTTAAATGGACTCTGGGGGATGGTAGAGGACAGGAAGGCCTGGAGGAATGTTGTCCATGGGGTTGCGATGGGTTGGACACGACTTCGCGAGTAACAACAACATACTATCTGAATCCCCTCTGAGAGATTATCTCATTAGGGAATGAAGGCTTAGTAAAAACACAGTGGGATAAATGAGCCAACAATTTAATTCTTTGCAAGGTGACTTTCTATCTTCTTCATGACTGAAGCAGCAGCTCTTCTTCATAAACAGATCAACTATAGGAGCATTATTAATTGTGGGTGGCTGTTCTGTTCTGTATTTAAATCCAGAATAACAAGAGTTGGAAGGGACCTTGGAGGTCTTCTAGTCCAACCCCCTGCTCAAGCAGGAAACCCTACACCATTTCAGACAAATGGTTGTCCAACCTCTTCTTAAAAGATTCCTGTGTTGGAGCATTCACAACTTCTGGAGGGAAGTTGTTCCACTGATTAATTGTTCTAACTGTCAGGAAGTTTCTCCTTAGTTCTAGGTTGTTTCTCTCCTTGATTAGTTTCCACCCATTGCTTCCTGTCCTGCTCTCAGGGGCTTTGGAGAATCGCTTGACTCCCTCTTCTTTGGGGCAGCCCCTGAGATATTGGAACACTGCTATCATGTCACCCCAATCCCTCTTTTCATTAAACTAGACATACCCGGTTGCTGCAAACATTCTTCATATGTTTTAGTCTCCAGTCCCCTAATCCTGTTTAACTTATGTTATTTTAAGGTTTCTTAACGGCCAAAACAGGTCTGTTGTTTCATAGCAGGAGAATTATCTTACTTTATGTCACAGTAGAAATGCAAATGAAGGTATTTTCAGTTGAAACAGACGTTGGTGGCAAAAAAGGATAAGATGATCAGCAATGATAGTAAATGGAAAAGGAACAGTAAGAAATGACAAGTAACAGAGACCACAGCTTCCCATTGCACACAAGGATACAACCTAATGTAACATTTGTAACTTTCTGCTATGGGAATTTAAGGAAAGGAAGTGTCAGGGTTCCAAGGAACTCCCCAACGAAAGAAAACTCCAAGGCTTGAGTTTCCTCAAAGTTCCATTTTATTAGAGATGTCATATTGGCACATCTGGGAAAACCCAAATCTGAAAGCTTCAGGGTTTTCCCCACCCAAAGGAAAGTCTAAGTTCCTACCCAACACCCACATGTCAATCACATGGTCCAATCAAGCATCGTCCCCACTGGAGATGCCTCCCAGTTCCAGCCCTCCAGGTGCAGGGCAAGATGTCCTTGACTCTCTGAGAAAGGAATGTTATTATGACTACATATCACCCTGACTCCAAACAATCCCCCCTCCCAGTTTCCCACAGTAGTAAATGTGGCAGGCCTGAAGATCCAATGAAAAAGATGGCTTCCAGGCCTGACAGATAGCCTGTATCTGCCATCCTGATATATTTTTCCAGTGGAGGTTGTTCTGCATATTTGGTCCCTGAAGTGCCCTCAGGGGATCTCTTTGGATCAGGTAGCACCAAGATTTGGCTAAAGACAAGGCAGGGATTCACAATCAGAAGCCTTCTTCTTCATCCCTATCCCGCCTACTTTTAGGAGAGCAGCCCTTAAGGATGACTTGACTTCGACTTCGCAAACATTGTGCTCATGACAGACATCTCTCTTTGGAGGGCCAATTTGTGTAGGTGGTTAAGATGGTGGTCTAGAAATCAAGAGATGGTGAGTTCTAGTTCCATTTTAGGCATGAAAGCCAGCTGGATGACTTTGGGCCCATCACCAGGAGATGGTGAATTCTAGTGCTACCTTAGGCATGAAAGCCAGACAGGTAATGTTGGGCCCATCAGCAGGAGACAATGAGTTGTAATCCTGCACTAGGCATGAAATCCAGCTGAGTGACTTTGGGCCAATCATCAGGAGATGGTGAATTCTAGGGCTACCTTAGGTATGAAAGCTGGCTGGGTAATTTTGGGCCAGTCCCTTTCTCTCAGCCCAATCTACCTTACAGGCTTGTTACTGCGGTGCAAATAGGAAGAGGAAGGAATATTATATATGTTTGCTGACTTTGAGTTATTTATAAAGTAATAAAGGCGGGATAAAAATCGAAGAAATACATAAATAAATTTAATGGGCCACTGAGCCATTTCCTCATGCAGAGTACCACTGGATAAATCAAAAATAAAAGGGTGAAACGTAATTGCAGTCTGGATAATTATGCATGGCTCTGAAGAAAGCAGTCAGATTTCCCGCCCCATTTTTTTCCTATATTCATTTTTTTCAAAAAAATTATTTCATAATTTCTCTCTCTCCCTCCCCCCACCCTACCGAGAGCTTAATCCTTGTTCGACCAAATCAATTGAACAGCAATAGATGTGGTTCACTGGCATTATATCTTCACACGATGTATAATTCATGAAATTCACTGCCTCAAGACATGGTAGTTACACTTATGGAGAATAGGCTGTTCCGGGGTGATTAATCACGTTGGCACGGATGCGAGGTTTTACAGAGCTGAAGAATGCCAACGTATGCAGAAACAGCAATGAAAGAGGTTGTTGGTTTTTTTTTTTTTTTTTGCAATATTACCCATCTACCGCGTTTCCCCCAAAATAAGACCGGGTCTTATATTAATTTTTGCTCCAAAAGACGCATGATGGCTTATTTTCTGGTTAGGTCTTATTTTGGGGAAATAAAGTACTAAAAATGCCTCTGCTGACGATCTTAACTGGGGCTTATTTTTGGGGTAGATCTTATATTACGAGCATCTTGAAAAATCATGCTAGGGCTTATTTTCTGGTTGGGTTTATTTTGTGGGAAATACAGTACTAAACACCTCCATTTGCTGACGATCTTAACTGGGGCTTATTTTTGGGGTAGATCTTATATTACGAGCATCTTGAAAAATCATGCTAGGGCTTATTTTCTGGTTGGGTCTTATTTTGGGAAAATACAGTACTAAACACCTCCATCTGCTGATGATCTTAACTGGGGCTTATTTTTGTGGTAGATCTTATATTATGAGCATCTTGGATAATCATGCTAGGGCTTATTCTCTGGTTGGGTCTTATTTTGGGGGAAATACAGTACTAAACGCCTCCATCTGCTGACGATCTTAACTGGGGCTTATTTTTGGGGTAGATCTTATATTACGAGCA